AGTTGGCTCTGCCAATCACTAATCTATGTGACTGGCATTGTTTTCTTGTTATCCGGAAGGATATGGCTCAGAGGAATATGCAACAAATTAGCGCTTTCGAGAGTACGTTTGCTGATAGTAACGCCCTGTGATTCAGCTAATAACGCAAGTCATTTGTGAAGCCAAGCTGAAAATACTCAGCAATTTGTGCCTTAATGACTGGCTGTAATACCGGTAGTTTAGCTGTAGCATTTGTAGCTGAGGGCTTCAGCTTCCGGGTAACAAGGAAATGACGTTGTTCACATGGATTACTGCTCGGCAGCGCTGATTTGAAATTTCGAGTTACTTTTCTCAAAATTTCGAGTTACGGATACTTTTTTTTTTGTGGCGGAAACGGGCTTCCATAATTTTGAGTTACGGATTTTTAAAAAAATATTTTTATTTTAGTGGCAGAAATGGGCTTTCATATTACTCAGACGTATTCAGAGTATAAAAGCACTATATAAGAACCAGTCCATTTACCAGTATAGATCCATATACTTTTACATTCACATTGCTAATGATTTTTTTCCACAAAATAAAAAAATAAAAAATCACACAACAGACTGTATTGTCCTCGTCTAATGAAAGCATTGATATTATTGTAACATCACCAAAGCACAGAATTTGTAGCACAAAGGATCAGAAGGCAGAGCTGAAGACAGAAGGGGGTGTAACCAATAAAGTGGCTCCAGTGAATCTAGATTGACTTTATAGAAACATCTATTTATAAGTAGCAATCCTGATAATATTCAACATCTTCTTTCTCATGAAATCCTTATAAATTAAGGAAAAGTCCATTATACTGTTCCCTGAAGATTACAGTCCGCTATTATTTCCCCCCTTTTGTTGACAGGTAACTTAGCCGACTCTGCACTGAAATCATTTTCAGCAAAGGTCTAATTAGCCTGGAGATGAGAGTACCTGAGCAGATCATAAAACCGATTCAATTAAATAGGAAGCAAGATGCTTAATGTCAGATCAAAGTGTGTTCTCACAGCAGCCAACTCAGTGTTCTTTTTTTCTACAAGGACATTATTGTTACCTCCCAAACAAATTATGAATTTGTAATTTGGCTCAGTTTTCCTCTCGTTTATCTCCATGTTTGCACTTTGCTTATGTGTTTGGAGCAAAAGAAAAACTAAGAGTGAAATGAGAGACATTGACATAAATGGACTTGCTGATTCAATGCAGCTACATTAATAGCAGCTTCACGATACAACTGTCAGAATGTTGAATATAATGGAGCGGGGTAAAAAGAGAACGTGGAGGACTACAGCGATTAATTACTATCAGGAGAACCCTCGGCTCAGTGTGAAGTCCTGTTGAGTAATATGCTGTTGCTGTGTGGATGGAGAGCCAAACTGGACCCTGCTGTGCAGTAACATCTTGTCTCCCCCTTGTTAATTCTGTTTTGATCAAACACACGAGGAGTTGGTTTAGCTGACTGGCAAAGAGCAGCTGGTCACCGTGTTTATAATCAAATTCTGCGAATGACCCATGTGTGAGGTTTTGACACATTTCCACATCTTGTAAAGGTCACTGTATGGAAGAACCACATCAAATGCGCCACACACAATGGAGGCATATAAAATGTAGGAAACTGTATCCTTTAAAAAATTCTCAAGTTATTCTTTAGCCAGCAGTGATTTGGCAGAAAGTAAAAGCCTTCTGACAAATCACTCAAAAGCCTGTCAGCGCTGTACCTTGTTGCTCTTGGGAAGCGTGTGTCTGAGTGGAAACATTTGGCCAAGGCTGCTGCAGACGTCTGATGGCCCCTGAGCACAGTCAGCCCCGCATATCCCAGCCTACTTGCCTCGGGGCTCTGATCATAAGTAGGGGAGCTGGGTGTTGTGTGAGAATAAAAATGAGTTCACTGAGAAGTCAAGAGTCCCCCTCTCCTTCACCCCAACCTGGCACTGACCCTGTGAAGAATATATACTGACATTTTTATTTGATATTTTTTCATCAAGCACAATTCCAGTCTACTCAAATTTGAGTCCATTTTATATTCCTTTCTGTCTTCTTTGGTCTGTTATCTTGACTTCAGTACTCAGAGCGGTTTCTGCTGTCAAACTGTTTCAGAAGCTATTTTGTAATTGGGGGTTTTTTTCTCGCTATTTCAACACTTAGAAGTTTAAATCCCCTAAATGTCAGCCTAAATCCTTAAAAGACACTTCCATTTAGATTAAGGAAAAACTCTCATTTTAATCTAACTGTATTTTTCATTTTAGGTGGCCTCACGTTTGCTGAAATAATGTGGATTATTACTAAAGCAGGCTTATTGAACCCTCACTCCCCCTGCAACCCTGTTAGGCTGTCTGAATGTGCCCAGGGCATTGTTAGTGTGGGTAGTTGCTCAGTTTTGGATTTACAGCCCTGCAGTTCCACAGATTGGTCTGCCTAAACCAAGCCTGCTCTTTGAAGAAGACCCATAAACCTGACCACATGCTGCCACTTATTCACAGTAATTAAAACAAGCTGGCGTCCTTAAATTACCAGAGCCTGGGCAAGATGTAAGCCTCACACACAGTCGCTGGTCATGCTTCAGGGAAGTCGTAACTATTGACATCTCCATCCCTAAAATGGATTGCATGTGTGAGCAGTTTTGCACCGAGACAGAAACCTTAAGAATCCTGAAAGCTTCGCCCCATGCTCTAGATTTTTTCAGGATGGGTGTGCTCAGACAAATCCAGTAATTTGCCACTGAGCTTAGTTGATGCTAAAGGGAGAAAATCTAACAAAAGCAATCAGTTGTGTGAAAATGAATTCTCACTTTATAGTCAGAGTTAAACACATTTGCTCTGTGATTTTGCCAAACATCGGGGCTGGGCTGGCTCGAAAGGCCATCATCATTATAAGTTGTGTAGTGTGTGGCTAATAATTTAACATATTGGTACAAATTGAAATGTGAATAAGGTACCTTGTGTCACTATCACTGGACTTCCTGAGTCTGCATTCGAATTGCCTGGTTTGGATAATAATGAGGAACCGGAGTTCAAACGGGCTGTGAGCTGAAATGGTAATGAGTGTTTCGGCGATGATGCATACTCAGTCACACCTACATAACCTGATGCGGTCTGACTGTGAGCTGGCAGCTTTTTTCCTATTCATTATGCGGTCTGAAAAAGTAAGTAGAGAGGAATAAGTAGGGATAGCAGGGTGGGAAAATTCATATTTTTTGGCAAAAACACGTGTTCCTGCTCAGGTAATTTTCTCTGTCTTTGCGCAGCGAGTGAATAAATGTGACTACGGTGCATAAGATATTTTTATTATATCTTTTTGACATGCTTGTTATTCATTCAGCAGTCTATCCCGTATCATGGTTGGTCAGTACATGCAGTACATGATGCACTGACCTTGTCAAAGCATGATAAGGAGAACTACTCCTCCCCACCACGTGCACTCACCTTGTTTTATCTGTGGTCTTGTAGTCCCATGGTCCAGATTGCTTGTAGATAACCAGTGATTTACATAAAGGCTTTGTTTGGAAACACTGTTTTAAAATGCTTTCAGAATACTGATGTGAAGAGTCAGTGTGTAATGAATATTCATTATTTGGGGGGAAATGGGTTATACACAGTTAAGCAGAAAAAATAAACTATAAAATCATTGATTACAATGTTTTTTGGACATGTTGCAGCACGCTACAGCGAGGTTAATCACTTACATGCCTATCAAAGCGTTTGCTGTTTTTCTTTTTAAGGTTTCAGGACTCATATAAGCCTGCAAATTGCACTCAGGAGATTAGTGATCATAAAACATTTCATTATTCCTACAGAAGAGGTGAAAGTATTTGATTAAAAAAAAAAAAAAGCTCACTGAGATATTGTTGTTAATTGCATAGAGAAACAGCCATTCCATCAGGTTGTGCTCTTAACAGATGGGAAGGCGTGACGAAAAAGACCTTTTTTAATTAGTCTGTCTGAAGACATTTCTTCATAACAGACAGCCCCCTCTGTGTTAAGTCTGAGTGGCCACCAGGAAGGCTCTTAGCTGGCTCCCAGTAGCAACCATCTGGTGTACAGCAGAACCGGGGCTACAGGGTGGATCCTCACTCCACTGAGCCACCACATCACCCAAGGACGCAAGCAAAAGCTCATCCTGTAAGGTTTAGTCAGTTTAA